CATCTAGATCCTTCCTTAAGAATTGAGGAACCAAGAAATGTTCTCTAACCTCATAAGCTTGTAATTGGCTTCTTTACGATGATTACTTTGAGTTTTGCAGTCTGGTTTGGACTACACCTCTGCTCTTTGAATACACACACCTCTTTGAAGAAGCTCTCCTGCTCTCTCCCTCCTACCCACTTGCAAGATGTAAGAATTACAAGAAGCTTTAGTAAGGCTGCCACATTCAGGAGTTTTATCAGGGTGTTCTGGAGTTTTGGGTGGAAATAAAACTGTTTTAAATAATGGCTACACGTTGTTTCTGTTAAATTCCTGTCCTGTGTGCCTTGAGGTATAGCTTATCTACTCTTCCTTGGCTTGGAGTTCACCCAAGTGCTCCCTAAGGGAGCTCTGCAGCCCTACCCTCAGGAGTTCCTCCGTGAAAGCCACCACTCTACCCTAGCAAGATGCTAAACTCAAGAATCTGGTGAAAAACATTCAACAGAGCCTCATTGTCTGTACTTCCCTCCAACAGCATACAGGATATTAAATCAAGTTCCCCCAGACAAGTCTTCTAGTTTCCCAAAGTAAAGACAGTTACAATGATGAATTATAGACTCTTATAACATGTCTTCCTTAGCCAGGCATTGTGGTGGGTGCCTCTAGTCCAAGCTACTCAGGAGGCTGAGGCAAAAGAATTGCTTGAGCCCAAGAGTTTAAGGTTACTGTGAGCTATGAAGCCACAGTATTCTATCAAGGGGGACAAAGTGAGACTCTGTATCAACAAAGTAAAAAATAAATAAAATTAAAAAAAACTATAATGTGTGTTCCTTTTGATTTAAACTGATGGCCCTTGGATTCTCTCCTACTTGGCAAAGTAGAGGTGGGTATATACCAGCAAAACAAAAGAAAAGGATCCAAAACCGTGTATGGGAACTAGATCATTTTCACTGATGATTAAGAAAAAAATGTTGTAAACTATTTCTGTATTTCTGCAGTTTCTTGGCCCACTAATCTATTTCATAAGATGCATATATCTTTTCCAAATATCAAAAGGTAGTAATATTAATATGGTGATAATAGGAATAATGATAGTAATAATTTATATGATTGTGACCAGCATACATTATACTAAGCATTTTATGAACATTAAATCTTTAAATTCTCAGAACATTATGTGGCAAATATGATTAAAAAGAAGAACTTTATTGGTTAAGTAAACTGACTTGGCTCAGTGCCTGTGGCTCAAGTGGCTAAGGCGCCAGCCACATACACCTAAGGTGGTGGGTTCGAATCCAGCCCGGGCCTGCCAAAACAACAATGATGGCTGCAACGATAAAATAGCTGGGCGTTGTGGTGGGCGCCTGTGATCCCAGCTACTTGGGAGGCGGAGGCAGGAGACTTACTTGAGCACAGGAGTTGGAGGTTGCTGTGAGCTGTGATGCCACAGCACTCTACCTAAGGGGATAGCTTGAGGCTCTATGTCAAAAATAAAACTGACTTGCAGAAAGCTTAAGAAATTTGACTAAGTCCAGCTACTAATGAGCATAGCTTTCATACCTAGGAAGATACAAATAACTCAGTGCATTGAATCTGCATATGATCTTTGTCCCGCTGATTAGCACTGGGTCAGAGTTAGAGCACTTCTAATTGTTTCTTGAAAAAGCATTGATGTTAAATCTGGCTTGTATGCTCTATTTTGGACCCATACTTTGTTACTCTGAACACTATTTGAATAAGAACTTGCTAATAATTTGAGCAGTTGTTACTTCAAAATCTTTATATACTATTATTCGAATAGATCATTCTTAAACTTGACATCAAATTTTTTTAATTTTCAAATTCATGTGTGCACAATTAATTTTTCTTCCTAGAGTTATGACAACATTTATGTGCTTTTCTCTCGATTTTGTTACTTTGATAGTTTGGGAAATATGTGATAAGACAGCTTGTAGCATGATTAACAGGCTGGTGCACATAGCATTTCTCAATCCTTTTCCAATGTTCCTAAAAACATCACATTCTAGACCAGGCGTGGGGGCTCACGCCTGTAATTCTAGCACGTTGGAAGGCTGAGGCAGGTGGATTGCCTGAGCTCAGGGATTTGAGACCAACCCGAGCAAGAGTGAGATGCTGTCTCTATTACAAATAGAAAAACTATCCAGATGTCTTGGCCATGCCTGTAGTCCCAGCTACTCAGGAGGCTGAGGCAAGAGGATTTCTCAAAACCAAGCATTTTCTCATAGCTCTCAAATTGCTGTGAGGTATGACGCCATGGCACTCTACCCAGGGTGAGAGCATGAAACTCTGTCTCAATAACTCACTAACTAATTAATTAATTAAAATAAAAACATCACCTTCTCACACAGTTTCTCTGTTATGCCCTGATAACTTGGCTTTATTTTCCTCCATGGACATTTATTCTTCTTCCCGCTCATCTTTGACTTTCCTTCTCTAACATCGTGTTACAAAAGCTGCTTGATCTTGATTTCCTTAATGCAGTCTAATCATGAAAATTCTGATTATTTGATACTTCCATTTATTTGGAATATAAAGATACACCAGAGTTATGTTGCAAAACAATCTTGTCTGGCCTGGAAAAAGACATGTCACTTTCCTTTGCCAGGTATTCATAAAGAAAGGTCATTTTATTTTATGGTCAAACTATTTATGAGGTTTTATATTACATTATATTATATTATATTATATTATAAGTGCATGTTCATATGTAGCAACAAAGACACTAATTCTAAAGCTATTGCAGAAAGCATAGCTTAAGGATTTGTCTCTTCCTAGTTGTGACCTCTGTAATACACTTTGTAGATTAATAAACAATTCTGGCCCTAGGATCAGAATTCTAACCTATTCACTTCAGTGTGTCTCAATGTAAGATAGGTTTGCCTTTGTATGTGTGGGAATCAATGATCCCAGCCCAGATGTCAAATATGTGCTTGTTTTTCTATGTATAACTGACTTCTTTTCCATGACTTTTAAGCTCTATCAGATCCTCCCCCTAAAATTCACATGTCCTATTTTGTTGCTACCCATTGCATGACTATATTGAAATGGCTGAGAAAAAAGGGGAAAAAAGCCCTAGACATTTTAGTATTCTATCTTTTTATTATGCCAAAAGTTTTTTTGTAAAAATAAATTCAAAACCCATTGCTACTCTTCTGTAACATGTTGTTATAGATTCTCAGCAACTGTTTCCTTTACAGGCAGCATAATTATGAGTGAATTACAAATGTAGACTTCATGACTCTAATTAAACCCTACTACACAATCCATTAAAAACAGGTCACATGACGGGGTGGCACCTATGGCTCAGAGGAGTAGGGCACCAGCCCCATATGCCAGAGGTGGCAGGTTCAAACCCAGCCCTGGCCAAAAACTGCAAAAAAAAAAAAAAATCATATGCATTAAATTAGATGTAAGAAAAAATAAATAAACCACATGATTTGAACTATCACAATGAGTGAGAAGCAACAATTTTAAATAATTTATATTTATCTAAAACTTTTATCAACCAACCCTAAAACAGTTTTTTAAATTCCATCAGCGTTAAAATTCTTATGCTTAATTTTCATGTCCATATACATTCTATTTTCTCTTACTTATTTCATTCTCCTCTAAGAGATCTTTGAAAGTATGTCCCAAGTATGAGAGCAAACCTGAAAGAGGCTCTATACTACGTGTGAGCCTGAAAGAGGTTCTCCACTTTAGTTGTAAGAATACATATTAGTTTCAAGAACGTTATCACTAAACCCAGAAGTATTTAATTATCAAATCAAGTAACTAAGAATTAGTTTGAAACAAAATGAAATTTCAACAACATTGTAGAACTAATTAAGAGAGTGAATCTTCAGAAGATGTAATGAAGAATGATTACACCACAGTTTGCACATCTGGGAGACTCATTTTTTGCTTATGTGTTTTCTCGGAAGTTTTTGAATACTTAACAATTGGATTACATACACGAAAAGGAGCTTGTGAATATTATGTCTAGGCAGTTCAATGTACCCATTGCCATCTTTCAAATCTTCTCTAGTGAAGAATTACATAAGTTTCAACCTAGCATCTCTGACACGGACAAGCACACAGTCACGCAGAGGAAAAGACTCGTGAAGAGAGTAAATACATCCTCCTGCAAGAGTACCCCAGGGTGGGGAATACAAACAGGATTTCAAGTAGAAGATTAAGAACATATTCAAACAAATAAACACAAAGGTATTATGTGAAAGAAAATGAGATACTTCAGCACAGGTCTACTAAGAGTTTGAGAAGATTCTGGTGCTTGTGGGAGACGGTAGCATCACGGATAGTAACACGTAAACCCAGCACAGAAAGGAAATTCTAATCAGGAGGCCTAGAGAATACACATCGCAGAAGGAGGAAATGAGAAAGCTGAAGATATAAGAGATTGAAAAGAAGATATTAAATACTTGGAGAATATTGAAGAAACAAAAACAGTAATGCTTCCGAGAAGATTCTTAAACTGTGTCTAGATTTAAGACTTGGAAATATGTCATACGGGGATATGAATTAATGTCCTTTTAAAAACAATCCACTTCCTCTCATCTAGTTCATGCAAGGCTTCGCAGGGCATCAATAGTGCAATAGAAGCTTTCTAACTGAAATGTTCTAGGAATCAAGAGCATCTCAGCGACTGGAAGCAAAGCAGCATGTCCTCTGTTATGTTCTCCTACTGCTAAGCTTTCATTAGGAGAGGCTGATGGTTACACGCAAGAGGAAACACAGTGTTAGAAATTTACTAACAAATGGTAGTGTGTTATGGAAATCTAAGGCTTGTTGGGCTAAATTTCATAGGAAGTACTGACAAAGAAATGCATTTAAAAACACAGGCTGAAGGAAATAATGTTTTCAGGGGCAGGCAATATGCCTTTAATTTATGAACTTTATGAAGGTCCTTAGTGTGTTCTTTTGACTTCTGGTCCTATTCAGTTTTGCCCACAGGCTATGGTTTTTTTGTGGAAGGGAAGTATGAGAAGCATATGCCTTACCGCCTCCACTTCAGCAGGGTCGTACCAGACGTTGATGTAGGGATGCTGTAAGGCGTCGTCCACTGATATCCTTTTTGCTGGGTCAATCACTAGCATCTTTGACAACAAGTCCCTGGCTTGGCTGGCTGAAGCATGGAATGAGAAAAATAAGCAGTAAGATTGTGATTTTAGTAAGGAAATTTACTGCAGGGAGAGAGAACTAAGGAGACAAAAAAATCAAATAGTATCTTCTTTCTGAACATTAGGTAAATTTCTTGATATGCCGTAAAAGGAAACACATTTCACACCGTCTCTGTGTGTCTCCAAGTCGAAGGCTTCATTTGGGGTCCTTATGGTCCATAGCGCTGTGAGCGTATGCATTTATTCAAGTGTCTAAGTGAAATTCATCAACCTAGAAAATGTGTGTAAGCAAAGTAATCTGCTTGGGAAAGGCGTGTGCAAATAGGATGAAGAGCATAGGGAATGCAAGTGCAGGGTGTTCGACAAAGGTGTGGATGGCTGTTTGAAGTTAATCAATGTGTGTGTGTTTATATTCTCATTCATACAATGAAATATTAGAATTTGAGTATTTAAATTGACTCAGAGATCACATAGTAAAAATTTCCTATTTACTTGGAAACAACTTGAAGAACTGATATAATAGAAATATTCAAACACTGAATTTTATTTGAACATTCTGTAATCATCAGGCTTTTTTTTTTTTGCAGTTTTTGGCTGGGGCTGGGTTTGAATCCGGCATATGGGGCTGGCTCTCTACTCCTTTGAGCCACAGGCGCCACCCTCATCAGGCATTTTCAATCAATGGAATATAATTTGATGAAATCAAGTATCTAGAGACTGAAGCCAATCCAGTGATATACCAGACACTAATAAAAAGCTACATGACATGCATGTTATGATTAATGTTATGGTTGTGGGCAGCAATAATTATAAAATTATATGGTAACAATCAGTAGGTATGCTTATTTAATAACATTGTCAAAAATATATTATTTTTAATCAGTACAATTATATAAAATTTTATATGACATAAGGTTTTAACAGAAATAAGTAATATCCTAAATCAATATTGTTACTCAACTGACTTGAAAATTAAACAGTAAAAATATTCAGTTTACTACAAATATGTGGTAAAACTATAAATTAAAGAGAATAAAACCTAAGCTGACTTTTTTCAAAGTCAGTGTTTTTGACTCTATGGACATGTATCAATTTTTATCTAATCAGTTTTTTCAGATTAAGGAAACTGGGTTAATTGTACAAATTTTGAAATTACATAAAATGTAAAAATAAAAAAATAGCTACTATTGCCCCTCGCTAGAAGCAGCTACTGCTATTATTGGCTGTTTCCTAGTACTATTTGTATTTTTCACATAATTTTGACCATCTTACAGTTAAAATGTAGCAATCTTTTTTTTTACCTATCCTGTAAGTATTTTCTTTTATTACATTTTAATAAATACACCTTCAAATGTTCTAAAGTAATATGAAAGGCCATAAGTTAAATCAGACTGGAGGACTTTATGGTTCTACTAGCCATTTTTCTGAGAAATTCAGTCCAAACTAAAACTCTGAAGCTGCGAGTTTAACAAAAAATGCAAAAATACTTACATATGAATTCAATATTTAATTTTTCTCATTGCCAATGAGTTCCTAGTGGCCTAACAAGGCTGTGTTAATTTATTCACTGGTTGAAAGATCTCTGTGATTTATAATACATTTTAAATGCAGACTCAGATTCTCCACTACCATCGATGCTGCCGTTCAAATCCAGCCATGTATCAAGACCTGCTCTTAGAAAGGGTGGGGATAGCAATGGGCTCCTTAGCGATAGAGACAGGAATATACCAACACCAAATCATCTCACTAAGAAACAATCATCAATGCCATTTGTAGGAAACTAAATGAGAAAATGTTTCAAAGTTGTATCTTTCATTTGAAAGAAAATCTGTTATGCTCTTTCCAAACACAGTAAATATATTTTTATCTTTAGTTATTTGTACATTATGCTTATTTATAATTTGCCAATTTTATATTAAAAAATTAAGCCATTACGAATATATAGACTTGTTTATCATTGACAAAAATAACATAAATAACATAATTGTAGAGATTAAAATTAAATTAGAAAGTAAACTCCAGAAAGTTGGAATTACATTAGGAAGCATGATATTTTATTTACTAGTTTTTCTACAAATGTTGTCATTATCATTCAATAGTTTAATGAGGGCTAAGAAGGGACTGCTTTTGCCTGATGCGTGAGTCAGTTAGCATCCTGAAGGCATAAATTCTCTAAGAGCTCTTCTTGGTATGCGCATAGGGAATGCTGATCTTAAAAGCAGCAGTTCAGTAAGAATTTGGCCCATTATCACTCAGAAAGTCCACAGATGCTGCTGAAGGAAGAATCACCACTGTGTAATATGTGTCAAAAACACAGAAATAACACAGCTCAAACCCATTACAGAAAAAATGGGTCGCACATCTCAAACCCATTACATAAAAGTTTGGAGGAAATGAACAGATCCTGGAAAATTTTAGTTTCTCTGAATCATTTAAGTCTACCTTAGCTATTTGGATTAAGTTTTTAAGTTAATTAATTGTCCGCTGAGCATGTGGGGTTAAATGTAAAGGATGTGTTTTTTCTCCATTTTTCTTGTTTGATAATTTACAGATATATTTTTTAAAATATTTTTATTTATTATATTTAATAAACACGGAACATTCACAATGAGCCAGGCATTGTTCTAAGTGCTTGACAAACTATTAAGTCAATTAATCTTCCCAATAATTTGTAAGGTAAGCACTTTTTACATTCATTTTGTAAAAGAGCTTTATATAAAGGTTAGGTAACTAGCTTGGAGTCATGCGGACTTTAAGGCACAGAGGCAGGAGGGAATCAGATTATCAGGAGTGTCCTAAATTATAATAAGAACTTGAATATTATTATTTATATTATACTTGTGCAGTGGCAAATTTATTCTGAGCCTCCCAATAAAACCGAGGTATTACTACTTCAGTTTTGTAGATGAAGATACTGATCTAATTTGCTACTCAATTACATAACGTTAGACAAAGTGGTAGAAAGAATTACTTACGCACATAGTGTTTATATTACATATATAGGTAAAATTCCATTTAGTATTCTAAAATGAAAGTTAGTGGTTAAGTACTTCATAAAAGTAGAATGATTTTGAAGTATTTCTTCTTTTTCTATCATCTATACGATTTGGCATGATCTGTTTTCTGAAATTATCTTTTACTTTTATTTATAAATATTAGTTGTTTATTTTTTGAGACTTTGGAAAAAAATAAGAAGAAGAAGTTAACTGATGACTCCATACTGAACCTCAGAGTCACAGCATTCTATAACAGACATAGTCTTATTTGACAATGTGAATGTTCCTTTCTTTGCACCATTATTATTATTATTATTATTGATTAATATTTCAATGCAGCAATCATCTGATTTCTTTACTGAATATATTTATCTTTGTTCGTTCTTTATGAGGTTTTTGTTTCTAGTCCTTATCTTAAACATTGTTACATTGTTATTGTTATTAAATTTTTAAGCTTTTTTAATTTTGTGAAGGCAAAAAGTGGAAACCTAATAAACACATGTATATGTAAAAAAATAAATAAAATAAAAACAAGAAATAAAAAAAAAAACAAATAGAAGAAACTCAGATACCTGCACAACTAAAAACTTGTGTCAAAAATATTTTTACACAATAATATTGGAATAATGATTTCACTGTATATTATTTTGGTCTTTTAGGATTATACTTCAAAAAATAATTTTAAGATTACAAATAGACCCCAAGAGATAGTTAACCTACTCTATTGTCAAACACCCTTTCCTCTGAATATCCAGACACTTCTAAAATCTTTATACTGCTCCTGTTTGCAAGAAAAATGTTTTAATAAATCCCACTCCTTAACTTGAAGTAGTTCAAGTTAAAGAAATGATGAATGATTGAGGTGATGGATATGCTAATTATTTGATCCGGCCATTTCACATTGCACACATGCATTAAAATATTTTGCATACCATAAACATATACAATTAGTACTTGTCAGCTAAAAATAAAGAGAAAAATGAGGAAGAGACAGAGAGATGAATACCGTGCGCTTTTCAGCCCGTTACCTGCACAGTAGTTCTCAAGTCATCCCTGAAGGGCATACCTTTGAGTTTATTGTGCTCGGAGTCCGCTGGGAAGAGGGAATCTGGAAAAAGCTTGGGGAAGGTGAGTCCCGCGTACTTGGGCCGATTCTCCACATAGTTTCTTACTGTGGGTTGCAATTTCTTCATGAATTCCGGACATGGTGTTCCTAGTTGTTCAATTACCTTATTCCACTGGTCAATATCTGAGAATTGAATCATTAAGGAAAAAGGAAGGACAGAACACCAGCTCCTGCCTTTCCGAAGTCAGGCAGCTAACTCTTCTCAGAATTCTGGACAAGCAACACAACTGGAGTTTTATAAGCAATAAAGAATAAAAATGTAAATCAGAATTGTTAGGCAATGAATCCTCTTGGAATTTTAGATTGATTTTTAAAACCCATATACTTTGGGGGAACTAGAATTATTTAATAAAATAGGACATCATGAAAGAGTTGGGTTATAAAGATAAAAAGTTATTCAGATAACACAAGAATCTCTTATAATGAGGTAAAATTCTGTATGTTGTCCATTTTAAATTGCACACAAACTTTATGGACACCCTGTATAATCATGTGACTTAGAATAAAAAAAATAGACTGACATATCACAGTGCTATTTTAATCCTGAAGTTACCTCAATTATTTATATTTTTAAAATGGCAAGTATACAAATATTTTAAATTATATTCATTTAAAGTTTTTCTAAGTCTACCTTTAAGACTTTTTTCTTCCTTTCCTAAAAATTTGGAAATTTCACCTATCAATGTTTTAGCTCATATGCATTACACATGGGATCGACATAATTTTAATAGTAAACAACTCATTAGCACTCTAACAAAGACCTAAAAATTATATTTATCAAAGTAGTCACCTATTTCATCCCAATTGTTTCTACTCCTGATATCCCTGAATATTGTTTTCAATGCAGTATGGGGTGAACAGAAGAGATATTCAACCTGAGATAACAGACTTCCATCCAAGTTCATCCAAGTTCAGTAAGTACATTAAGCATGGTGAATTCTACAGGAAAAATATTACCTCTCTGAAAATTAATACTCTCAAAAATTGTAGCTTGCTCATTGGCATATCCCTGATTGAAATTCTCTCTTTCACCCATCATTAATATTTGATATATCAGAGCCTTGAGTATGATAAACATCACCCATGAAAACTTTGAAGAATCAGCTGGGAACAACTGATTTCAGTCAGACAGACTTCCTGGCTATGTGTCAGTGAATACTAGAGACCTTGAAATTTCTCCTCGGTCTGCCATGGAAAGCCATGCTCACTCCTACACTGTTTATGCTTTTTCAATGCTATCTGATATGTTAATTAATTCATTTCCACTAATGCAATGTGCAGCAGTTCAAAGACCCTTATCATAATGTTATTTAGTTGAAGTTTATTTGGACTGAAAAAAGATGGGCACTCCTGACAAAAGAGAAAATTAACTATATTAACAAATTAACTAAGTTTGTAATGCAAATACATATATAGAAAATTGAAAAAGTTACAATCAAACTTATTCACAAATTCTCTTCTACCTCCCTTATAAGCTAGCTGAATAAAATTTAAATTACTACATATCATCTCAGTTATTGGAATGAAAATATATACGATTGTGGACTATTAAAGGAAATGAGAGTGGGAAAGAGCAGAGAGCATTCTTTTATAAAATAGTAGCAATAATTCAACAAGAACGTGCTTCAAGAAGATTTATCTAAATTATTATGAGTATGAGAATATAATGGTACTTCAGAATCATTATAAATGAAGACGCTAAAACATCACATAAGGTTGGAATTACAAGTTAATCATAGACAAAATCCACATTAATACCATGGATATATGTAGGCTACAGATACTTAGACAAATTTAAATAGAAAACATTAGTGTAGTTAAATAAGACTCAAGTGCTTATCATTGTAAATTATGAAAAGAAGCCTATTTTTTAATGCAGTTAGGTTACCATGCCCCACCCAGCCACCTTTTAATCATTTGTCAGACTTACCAGAACTCTGAAGTCTTAACCCCAAACTTACCATAGAGGCAAAAAACCTCAAATTTTCAGTAACAAAGTCATTTAACAAAATTGGCAAAATAATCCTGACACACTATTGTATTCCAGTTATATTTAGCTAAAGTTATAAAGTTATTCAGCAAAGATTGCTTTTAAAGTAGCATCCCCCCACAAAATATTTTTACAGTAAAGTTTAACAAGAGTCAAATATACTAAACTTTGTTGAATAAGGATACTTAAAATGTTTCTTTTAAAACCATGATTATCTAAAGACACACTCAGTGTACTTTCCTACTTTAGATTTCTTTCACACAATTATGCTTGATGCAATGGTTTACAAAAAAAAAAAAAACGGGAATATTATCATCAATGAAATAAATGTTTATACCGTAAAAAAAAAAAAAAAAGGAGTATATCCATCTTTAAAAGCCAGTGCCTTTATTTTAACCAATCCATTTAAAGTTTTTCCCTCCCATAAACATGCATATGTTTCACTGCTAACTACCTGTTTTCCAGATGTTCATAGGCTCATAATATGAACGACTAGGTCCAGCTTAGTTGAGCACATGATTTTTCTTTATAATCATATTTAATCAAATATAAGCCAAGACTGGACGTCATACCTCATGTTTCCGAATTCAGTGCTCATTCCAAGCATTTCCATAAGAAAAAGAATAAATTTGGAATTAATGTAAGAAAATGGCTTTAATTTGGCCATTAAGTTGATGCTATACTTTGTCACAGGCAATGTCCCTAAAGAATGTTGCTGAAGCTCCTTCTCTAGCCTATCAGGTCATCATTTTTCCGTGAAACATTTACTTTTTAAATTTTTTATATATAAAATAAGATGATTTTTTGAAAGGAAAAAGATCATAAGTTTCCACAATGATTATACTTTTTAAAATACATAAAATATTATCGAGATTTGATGTTTTAAATATGGTAAACATGTTTTTTAAAAAGAATGGCCAAAATTATATTTAACAAAAAGGTTTATTTGCTTTAGAATAACCATAAGTCATCATTTTTTATACTACACATTAAGAACCTGAATATTTATACTTCTTAGGTCTGGGAAGTTATTAAAAAAAAAGATTGTTTTTACATTTTTGATGTGCTGTTTCAGAAACTATCACCCTCAGCATAAATTATCAAAGGCATCAGATACAAATAGAATATTCTTATCATATATAATAAGTATTATTTGAAAGTAAATTTCCTCATATAATCCTAAATTCACTAAATAAAAAAGTGTATGGCAAAAGTTAGATTCTACAAGCAGAGTATGATGACAAGATACTGTGCAAATGTGATTATTATTAAGGTCTTCAATAAATAGCATTGCAACAGGAGAATTAAAGTAAGTCTGAATAGTAAAGATGTGTATCTGAAATCCTGAGATTGAAAATTATTACAATTAATATTATCAGTTAGCTAAGAAGTTACTTTTTGAAGCAATTCTCTTATTTTTAGCTTCCTTTGCTAGGAAACCTTCTAAAATAATAATGCCTTGAACGTAACGTAAGAAAAGGTCAACCTTTCGGGCGCCTTATTTGCACAGGCCCCTTACAGGACCTCTCCTTCTCTGGATATCTCGAGTCATAGTTATGAAGATAATTTATACTATGCACATTTAAGCCTTCAGAAGCTACTAAGTGAAATCATAATGAGCTATTTAATGACCTCATTTTATTGGCCCTTTGAATTACTATATCTTCCTTTTTATTTTTTCTTCCATCATCGACTACTTTCTGTTATTATAAATGTGATTTCCAGAGCTGATATCCTCATAGTTTTTACTTGCTTTTTACTCTGCTCTAGGCCTTAAATCCAATCCTTTGTGCAACAATGTTCTGGGGACACACCTATGGTCCATCTTACAAGGGTACATGTGAATCTTTCTAAATGTAGAATATAAATGTCTTAACACAATAACTAAGAAAATGCCATGAAGGCTATGTTAAGCAGTTTGGTGAAAACATTTCAGATTGTCTATAAAACCAGCACACTGTACCTCATGACTGCATTAATGTACACAGCTATGATTTAATAAAAAAAATGTTCTGACCTCTATTTGCAACTTAAAATACATTACTGTTTGCTTCTATATTCTTAGCTATATGTTAAAAATAACACTGCCTAATAGCAATGGCTGTATGGAATAGATCCAGGAGAGGATATTTTATATCGCAAGCCAACCAGCTGCCTAGGCAGCTGTACGGCTAGCCGACTATATGGCTTTGCACTAGCTCTGCAGGAAAGAATGCTATGATCTGCAATTAGTAATTTCTGAAATTAATGTACAATAAGGAAATGGAGGTACAACTGCCATGTGTTAGGCATCCTAATATGAAACTGCCTTTCCCCAACTTGAATATTCATAAACAGGGAACTTAAAAAAAAGATCCCTCTGATGTCATAAAAACACCAAGGGTAAGTACTGTCTTACCACCACCCAAGGGCGGTCCTTGGATTATAAACTGAGAAATACTAATGTAGATTATACTAACAGTTTCTTGTGAGTTACTAAGTCTGGATGTAAAAATAAAGGACTAGCATGCTTCAGCTTTATGACACAAATTAGAAGAAGTTCAAATTCACTAAATGTTTATTCCACATCTCCTTGCTATGGAAAAGTTGGGAGTCATTCACTGGGAATATTTAAGGAAAGAAAAATCCTAATCCTAATTGCTTCTCCCCCTGTTACATTCCTGCAAAGTCCAAGGAAAATTATAGTAAGTAGCACACACAGGCTCCCAGTAGAGGGGGAAGGATTAAGCTATCATCCTTATGAGCAAATCTAAATTATATACTGCTGTTAACGGTGGACTACTACCCAGGAAGAGCACAAAAGCTATTCCATAGAAAATTCAAAATATTTGACAATTTATTTCAGTAATTATGGTTCTTCATGATAAAATTTGTTCTTAAAACAACTTATACTTCTGAGGGCAACTGTAAAGGAAATTGAGGTAAAATAAGCAGCTCCCTCTGTACACACACACACAAAATTTACTCCAGCTGAGCTAAAGGCTAAAATGTGAAAGATTAAGCTTTAAAACATGCACAGTAACATTACCACAAAGAAATCAAAGGATTATTAAGACAGAAAAATACATGAATCAAAGAAACAGACAGATCACCAAATTCCAAAATCACTATAAAATAAAACAGGAAAATAATC